GGTTTGATGTGATATGAGCTAACTGATCTTTAGATTAAATCACCATTGGTAGCGCGATTTATTGTAATGCTTTTTTCCTCAGTTGGTCAGAACAAATGTGGCAGACTTGTTACTTGTGTGTTCAGATGACAATATCCGGTGAAAATGCTTATTTGGGTCATATATTCCAAGATGTAGTCTAGAATCTGTGATTGCGAAGTACAGTAAATATCCACACCGGTGCGGTGACTGACTGCCACACATACTCTTAAGAACATTAGATTCATCCCCGCTGGAGCCGCGCCGACTCACAACCCACGCAAGCTAGATAATTCTGCAAACAGCTGCAATTGCAGGTTTTCAAACAGAGATGGCGACAAAGAGGCAAAACTTACGGACTGCAGCTTTAAAGATCTGAGCTAAAGGTTTGAGGTTCAAAATCCTGTGAAAACGTCATTATTGTGTCCTGTGAGACACAGCAGCTAAATGAGTCCAGCAGTAGTTAGTCTGACTTCCACTCAGCTGAGCCAGAATCATCTATCGATGATTGTCTGACAGTTATTTTATTCTCCAGAAGTTACGTAAGACACCAGCGCCAGCGGAGATACAAATCAATCTGATATCTGTCTTAATCCACATCCGATGCGCCAAAGCCGTGATGACAGACGCAGAGAATCAGGTGTGACTCGATAAGACAGACGCCGGGCCTATAATATGAAACCAAGACAAATGGATGTGTCTCTTTCCTCAAGCGCCTTACCGAGCAGCTCGCAAAGACTGAGAGAAACTAATGGACATGACACAAATATTCAATTGTTTTGGGGTATAATACAGTCTTCCAAAAACCACAGATCAGTGGCAGTGTGTGTGTGTGTGTGTGTGTGTGAGAGAGAGAGTTTCTGACCTAGCTACACTTTTGAGGACAACTTTGCTGAAAATGTCCCCAGAACATCTAAGGCAAACTTTCAACTATAGGAAAAGGGCCTGAAACTCTTAAAACGGTTTTTATAAAGGGCAGACATCTGATGTGTTCAAAACAAGCTACTGTTTATGAAGTATTAATTATTTCCGAGTTCATTTTACCTATTCAATATTTCCCATCGGCTATTTGTGCTTTTATTCATTTAAAACAAAAAACGACTGTACACCAATTTGTACTGTATTCAGCATCTCAAGTATCTCAACAGAGAAACTGCTTCCTAACGAGACTAACTAATATTTCGAAAAATGTATAGCGTTAGTCTGTGGGTTAATCTGCAGTCATAAAGACAATAGAAGTGTCTGTGTGTGAAAAGCCCTGCATGACAGAGAATGTCCTCATTACTTCACAACAGCCATCATTACCATACATTCTGTCAGTCCGGGGCCCTTCAGTGTCACAGGCCCCTGATATTTCCTTGGGTTTCTTGCGCGCTGGTGGGATTTCGATGAGAGTCTGGGTAAATTGGAGTGTGTGCAGTAGATGATAATGACTGTGAGAAACTGGGTTGTCTTGAGTCAGCACATTTACAAATTAAAACAAAAAACGACTGTACACCAATTTGTACTGTATTCAGCATCTCAAGTATCTCAACAGAGAAACTGCTTCCTAACGAGACTAACTAATATTTCGAAAAATGTATAGCGTTAGTCTGTGGGTTAATCTGCAGTCATAAAGACAATAGAAGTGTCTGTGTGTGAAAAGCCCTGCATGACAGAGAATGTCCTCATTACTTCACAACAGCCATCATTACCATACATTCTGTCAGTCCGGGGCCCTTCAGTGTCACAGGCCCCTGATATTTCCTTGGGTTTCTTGCGCACTGGTGGGATTTCGATGAGAGTCTGGGTAAATTGGAGTGTTTGCAGTAGATGATAATGACTGTGTGAAACTGGGTTGTCTTGAGTCAGCACATTTACAAAGAAACACGCCGTGACTGACTGGCTGATTTCTGCAGAGCTGAAAGAAATATTCTGCATTCGCTTAAAGAGAGAAATGGATGCACAGACTATCTGCAAAGAGCTTTTCTTTTCTTTTTTTGTCTCTTTATGACACACACCCGTAACCGTCCGAGGCCTGTTAATTACACACACCGCTGAATAACACTGATTTAGTCAACTGTCAGCAGCTTCTCTCCAGTGTTCCTGAAGTCTGCCGTTAAAGTTAATGACATTGGAAAGATGAGCAAAATGAAACGGCTCTTAATGTGCCTTAAACAGCATGAATTCATCAGGATCCGTTCTGCTTTTACCTGTTAATGGGACAAATCAGTAACGAGTAGGCAAGTCTAAATGAAGTTTTCCTGCCTTTTAAACTGCATGAATGTGTTTTGAAACACACAAACACGCAGCGGCGGATCATCTTCTTACCAGCAGGTGGCGCGCTTCGCTTAGAAATAAAACAAAGGTTAGTGAGGAAGAAATCTAGATTTTTTTTATTTTTTATTTTTTATTTTTTTATTTTAGAACACATAATAGAAAATGCCAGATGACATTATATGCACTATTTGCCAAGAGAAAATAGAAGAAAAATAAACAGAGGAAATAAATTATATATTTTAAGTAAAAAGTTATTAATTCATTTCAATATACAGTTTTAAATTTAAATTTACTCTTCTGTACATAATATTTGCCCTCATCCCCCCATCATATTTTTCTTTCTTATAGGTCTAATGTATAAAAACAAGAATTATCATTTTCTAAGAAATATCAGGGACACATGACATAAATACCCATAACCTTTTCTCATAAGCTTGTTCTTACAATAGCAAAACAGTTCAAATCCACCTTCAGTTTAAAGGCCAAAATCAGACTGTGTTTATTGCCATGAAGAGAAAGCGAAACGGTGACTTGTGGAGTAAAATGATCTTCTGCTCACCAAGACTGCATTTAAAAAAAAAATACAATATATACTGTATATATATATTGTGAAAAAATATTACAATTTCAAATAATTGTTTTCTACTTGAATATATTTTAAAATGCAATTTATTCCTATAATATAAAGCTGAATTTTCAGCATCATTACTCCAGTCTTCAGTGTCACATGATCCTTCAGAAATCATTCTAATATGCTGATTTGCTGCTCAGGAAACATTTCTGATTATTATCAATGTTGAACAGCTGTGATACATTTCTTTTTTCACGATTATTTGATGAATATAAAATTCAAAAGAACAGAATTTATTACATTATAAATGTATTTACTGTCACTTTTTGATTAATTAAACATCCTTGCTGAATATAAGTATTACTTAATTTTAAATAATAAACTTTTTTTTTTTTTTTACTATTTATAAAGATGTTATCACAGCTGAATCATTGTAAAAACATTATTGGGAAGTCAGTTTTAACATCTGAATACTCCAATATGAGGATAGCGATATGTGTCACACAATGCATGACAAACTTTAACGTTTTTAAAGCCATTTTTAATTAATATTTTAGACACGTGAGGGGTCTGCAGGGGTCAGTGTTTGTCTACCTGTATGTGATACACTCAGGTGTGTGTCTGTGCGCATGCTGGCTCCGCCCATCTGACCTGCCCAGGCCAGCACACACAGGAAGAGAGAAAGAGAGAAAGAGAGAAAGCGGAAAACTTCAGCTGATCTCCTCATGGCTGTTCTTACGATCTGAGGACTTTACCATGACGCGCCAGGACTTTATATCAATCATCAGAGGAGTTCATGACAGCTCTTTAGATTGACAGCGTGGATCTTTAGGTTTAGAGATTTCACGCGTGGTTTGTTTATTCGCGATCGAGACAAACTTGCGCCAAAACGCGCGTGCGGACGCGGAGACTTGTGCGCGGAGATCAGCGCGGGCGCGTATTGAGTCGCGAAAGGTACGAGACTCGCACGCTTCTGTGATCCGGACTTTAGGGTTCAAACTTCCCTCCTTTTCCTTTGTGCTGGAGGACAAGCGCAGGCCGGTGGCGCGCAGCAGCACCAGGCCGCGGGTTAAGACGCCCTGAGCGGGCGTTCGAGGAATAGAAGTGATTTTACAGAACAAAAATGGATCCAAACTCAGCATCTGCTGGTGCTCCCAAAAGTGGGAAAGACAAGGAGAAGAAAAGCAAGAAGAACTATGACGAAGGAGACGGAAAGAAGAAATTTGTAAGTGTTTGATGCTCCTATTGTGCTGTCAGTAGGCTACTGTAGTGAAGCGTCAGAGTGTTATTAAACAGATTTATGCTTGAACCAGACTTTATTAAACTCGGAGATGTTTGAATTCACATTTCCTACATGAAATCATGAGGCTCTGGTCAGTTTGAGAAGTTTCGCAGCTCGCTCGCTACGTGCTTCGACTTCTCTGATGAGGAAGTCGAGTGTGAAGTGTGTTTTGAAACACTGTTCCTTCAAAGGGTTACAATTATCAGGAAGGGACCTCAAACGTTCAACGCTGAACCTCTTTCAATTCAGGAGACTTTTAAACCCCTACTTTTCTTGTTAGATAACTGTCACCTCTGATAGTAACATATAAAGTATGTTTTTAGACCGTGGTAATACTATGGAGTTCCATGTAAAAATCATACTTTGAAAAATATAATATTTTACCGCGACATACAACACTGTTTCACTGCAAAATGAAACGTTGTTTCTGTATGGAGCGCTTACGTTGCATTGTGACTGTAATAACGTTCTGTTTCGAAGTGTAGGCTAACTTTTGAAGTGTGAAGCGTTTGAAGTGTAACGTTGTTTTAGAGCGGTTCCAGCGTAACAGTTTCATTGTGGCTTGCGTGCTGTCACTCGCAGAGCGGCATCGATTACAGAACAGATTCGGTAACCGGAAGTTTATTGCCTTTGGGTAAATAACACTTGGAAGTTGTGGAACTGGAAAAGCGCCAATAAGAGGGAATTCTGTGACGTCATAAAGGAGTCCTGGAGCTCGAGTGGATTGGGAATGTTTGGAGGGCACTCGCGTCAAGACTCAAGCCACGCCCACCAGCTGCACTGTGCATACTGCACACACTATATTATATTATAAAGTGTGCAGTATGCACTGCAGCTGGAGAGACGCTGGTGGGCGTGGCTTAAGTCTTAAAAAAAATTGCTCATACTTTTTGCACACTATATGTAAAAAATATACATATAGGCTACACATATGTGGATGCGAGGGAAGGCGAACTGGAAGTTCAGACATTATATAGTTAAATATATAATATATAAAAGCTCCATGTTTTTAGGTAACAAATCCATCATGAAGGTATTTTAACTTTATAGTGTTGCTTTTGACCGAAATATAAGTCCATGATCCATAATAATACTTCCTCCAGACAGTGCAAAAGTTGCCTTGTCTGATTCAGTAGAGAAATATGCACAGATCAAGCACCATTTAAATGCAAAAGCAGTTTAAGACTGGATTTTTTTTTTACAAACACATAGCTTTTGGCTTCACAACATGTTAATTGATGGACTGGAGTTGTGTGGATTACTTGTGGATTACTGTGATGTTTTATCAGCTGTTTGGACTCTCATTCTGACGG